GCTTGTTGTACAGTCTGACAGCAGCAGGGAGGAAGGACTTCCTGAATCTCTTCTTCACACACTTGGGGTGAAGCAGTCTGTCACTGAAGGAGCTGCTCAGTGTTGTCCTGCATGGGGTGGGAGACCGTCTCCATCATGGAGGACAGTTTGACCAACATCCTCCTGTGTCCCACCACCTCCACTGGTTCCAGAGAGCTCCCCAGGACAGAACTGGCCCTTCTGATCAGATGAATGAAACATGGGCCAAGAAAAACTTCAATACATTTTGACACATATCTGGACAAAGGGGCAGATCCAGCAATCCTTGTTTCATGTTGTTCAACATTCACTTTTCATTCACTCACAATTGTATTGAGTATATTTCCACCAATTTCCAAGGGAGTAACTTATGGATCTTGATTGAAAAAAATTTGCATGTTTAGGGAACTGAAAATCTGGATCCAGTGAATTTAAATTTGGTTTCATTAGGGGACTGTTGGGCCTTGATGGAGGTTTACGCTTCACTGGATGACATTCGACTTCCCTCTATTTCCTCCACTGACTTTTGTAATCAGTTGTTTTGGTTTTGTATCCTAAAGTTAGTGCCATGTATTCTTCCCAGTCACTCTGACCTCTTAATGGAGGCAAAATGAACCACGTCGGTGAGTTATTCAAGAATTTCATCTTTCAAGAAAAGGCACTGAAAGCAATTGCTGCCATTGTTCCTCCATTCAAACAGGGGGCACTGTGTAGAGCTCAGTCCATGCCTGCTGGAAGACTGGAGTAAAAGTCATGCACCCTGGCCTGATGAGGATTAATGAAGTGAGGCTGAGGAATCAGAGGTGAGGCCTTCACTGTGTGAGGATCAGCAGTGAGCTGACAGTGCTGCGTACAGTTCTGATAAAACTGCTGTCATCAAGTTCATTAAATGTTCAGACACTGTCCTGAACACTGGAGCAGATCTGTGTTCACCCACTTTGTGTTTTCAGCTCTGAGTGTGGAGGCGTGTGGGAGAAATGAGGCCTCTGCTGGCGATCGCTCTCATCCTTCTTTTCCTATGTGAGTTTATGTTTCTTGAGGAGTGCTATTACTCTGATACGCTCCAACAGTTTTGCTTGCTGTGTGTGTGTTTTTTATTTGTGAGGCAGCTGCATGACACGTCCAGTTTCTGTGTTCTTCTGTCTGCGTATCTGTTTCAGGGCTTCTCAAGAATCAGACGTCCAGTGACCCTCTTCATGGAGACCCCTGTGAGGTGAGGGAATATAGAGACAGAAATAGATGGGGAAACTAATTAGTCCCACATACAGTGGAGTGGTTCCCAACCTGAGGGTCAGGCTGACTGCTTAAAGTTATACCTCCTCATTGGTTTAATACAATCCCCTCTTAACACTGACCTGTGTGTCCATTGTCAGTGATTTTGTTTCTTAGTTTTATTAGTGATGACGTCAGCAGCTCGACAACTCCTGACCCAAAAATGTTTTATTCCTCCGACTTAGTGTTCACATGAATTTTCCCATTGAGGAACACATTTTTCTGATTATTTGGACACCACATGAACTCACAAATTTAATTTATGAACTTAAAACTCTGTCCTTTTTGTGTCCACAGTTTTGCTATGCTATATATATTAGTTCCTTCTGACCAATATTATTATGTCCCATGTCCACTTTGCTGTTTAGGCTGTATCCCTGAGTGAGGCAGTGATGTCCTTCCTCTTGTCTCCTCTGTCTCTGTACTCCTGGTTGTCCTCCACGCTGCTCAGACTCGTCCTGTCTGTCCCAGCTCTGGTGGTCAGCTCCCTGCAGAACACAGTGCTGCTGCTCCTGGCCTGGCCTTGGTGCTTTGCCTTTGTCTGCATCTCGGTGCTGCTGACGTGTCTCCACGTGGCCCTGTACCTGCTTCACCTGGCCCTGGTGGTTTGGGTCGGGGCCATTTTGACCCTCACGCGACACAAAATGGCTGAAAGTGACGCCGCAGACGAGAGAGTGTTGTACCAGCAGAAGAACCAGGGGAGGTGTCACACCAAAACCAGACTGAGGCTGTTCGGAGACACAGTGAGTTCTTCTGTGAAATGATCTTATGTTTCTGTGAGTAAGAGAACCTGCTTTGGACCTGCCACCACCTTCATTTATCTAATGAACCTGACTGTAGTTGATTCTCACACAGATACTGTTTTTAAATTGGCTTTGCGATGGAAGGAGAAAAAACACTGATTAGTGTGTGTCCTTGTGACCTAAATGAGGTTGAAAATACTTCTGCTAGTTGCCTCTTTTACAAACAGCCTGCTGCCGTCCACTTATCTATCTCTCTCATTCTCCCTCTCTCTCCTCGTCTTTAAACATGGATCCCAATTATCAGCGGATTGTTGTGCTGTTTGCTTCACATCTGCAGATGTTATCATTAGACATGTCTGTCAAATGGAGATGAGCGGATAAGAGAAAAGGAGAGGAATAAGAGAAAATCTTATGCATTCATTGTGTCGGCGCAGCTGTGTGTGTGCGCAGAGTCGAGTCCAGCAGTGCAAGGCATGCAAACCACATTCCTGAAAAACACTAATAAAGGGAGTTAACAGGGAGAGAAACTAGATGTGGTGTCGGCATTGAGCCAGGGCGGCAATTGCTCAGCCAACCAGTAAACGGTGTGTGCTGACACGCTGTGGCTCTCAGATCTGAGGGATGCTTTAAAAACGGCAAGAAGAAACAATTTTATCAAAACTGTTAACACTCCCGCCGAAGGGTGTAGCTATAAAAAGTAATGGATGAAGTTTCTGTGTGTGTGTGTGTGTGTTCGTGTGTGTGTGTGTGTGTTAAAGAGACAGACAAAAGAGACAGAGGGGAAATGAGGCTGGATCATAGAGATTTATTATATGGCCGTGGCATCCTAATTAGCATAAAGACTGGACCGGCCCACTCAAGCAGAGAATTAAAAACCTTAATTGTGCTGTCAGCCTTCCTCTCTCTTTCTCACTGTTGACTCTACTTCATTCCGCTCGCATTCGTCTCCTCCCGCTCCCCTCGCCCGCTCCTCTCGCTGCTTATGAAGTAGCCTGCGTCCATGCTGTTTAATTGTTGGTGATAAATGGGAAGAGGGATGTTTGTAATTGTCTCGGAGATGGGGGAGAGGCCGACGGAGATCGACTGCGGGAAGGAGAACGGAGAGTTTTTTTTTTTTTCTATTTTGAAAGTGGCGAGTGAGGAGGCCATTCATCACATGTATGTTTGAAGGAGGAAAATTAGCTTGGCAGAAACAGGCAAGGAAGAGTTGGTGAGGATTTGATCCCAGGCCAGAGTGAAGTTACATGTGACGCCAACGTTTGCAGTGTTTGTATCATGTAGGACTCGAGGGGGTAAAGGTTCCCATGTTCAAGACTAATATTCCTGTCATCAGATAATTGAATAGGGTTGGATATTTGTACTTAGGGTTGAAACTAAGTACAACACTGTCCATTAATTTTTTTAATTGCTTGAACAATTCGGCCATAACTTCAGACATTTCTGACCCAGGAAGTGAAATGAGCATGATATGTTTGAGCTTTCCAAATACTTCACTTATGGTGATTAGAACTAGAAAAACCAATAATTCACAGTAAAAAGTGATATTTATAACTTCGATTGACGTGAACTCAGCAGAAGTTATTGAGAAAAGCCAGGGGGTTCAAGAACAGTTAAGAAAATTGTGTTCAAGTGGTTATTTTCTACTCCAAAAAAAAGACAATCTTTTTCTCTCTCTTAGTTATCTTCTTTTTCATCAGTGCAGTTTGGTTTGACAGTTGCTGCTAAAGCTTAACTTACTGACTTCTTCTTCTGCTGACAAACCTGTTGCTGCCTTTAAATCATCACTTTCTGCTGTGCAGGATTTCTGTCTACAAACTAGACACCATGAATGAAACCACACACTCGTTCTCTATTCGTACATAATTAAGTTAACAAAGACTTAAGTTAATTCTGTAATTTCAGACAAACACGAATCATCATTGTCCACATCACTATGGTTTATTCAAAGCAAAGCATTGCACTGTAGAAAAAGCAGTTGTGCTATTTTTGTCCTATAGTGGAAGGTTTTACAGGCATCAAACGTCACGTCAAAGGAAATATCAAGCACTTGGTTGCAAAAGATTCAGAAGTCTGATTTCAGACAGGAAATATTTGTATTGTCTTTTGTATTTATTGAAAATATGAAAACACATATACAAAACATAAAAGACACACCCCGGCGTTGAATCCTAATGTGTTTGCTTAACTTGGGATGTAAAAAAGAAAGTGAGGCTGTTTAGTTTATGGACTAACAGAATAATCAGCACAAGAGAAGGAGGAAGGAGGAACAAGGAGTGCAGCAGTGGAAGGTTTTTCAGGAGGAGGAGGAGGAAGAGGAGCAGTGAGCGTTTTGTTGCGAGGGTCAGTCCTGTTTGTGCGTCTCTGCTGTCAAAGCCTCTCCTGCAGCAGCAGATGAGGTTAAGACTTGGGAGGCCGGGCCCTCTCACTGCCTCTCCCTCAGCTCTGACAGCTCGTTCACACACACACACACACACACACACACACACACATACGCACACATACACACTCACATGCACACACACACACACACACAAACGCACACACGCACAGACATGCATTGTCTTACACTACCCACTTTACCTCAGTCCTCTGCCCATCCTCAAGATGTCCCTCTGTCTCTTCCTTCGCTTCACTTTCATTCTTTGTTTTTCTGTTTATCTTTCTCCTCCTCCTCTTCTCTCTCTCTCTCTCTCCCTCCCTCTCTAATTGGTCTCCACTAGGTTAGCTCAGACAGGTCTATTCATCATAGCACCATCCTCATAGACAAACCCTCAGGGAGCAAGGGGGAGATAGACAGTCAGACGGGAGGGTGAGAGGGTCTGCCGCTTGTCAACCCACTCTTCTTCTTCTCTTTTTTCCCCTTCTTTCTCCCTTTTCTCCCTCCCTCGCTTCTCAGCTCAGTTTATAGATGTCAGTTTTGCAGAGGGAAGGTTGGTGAGGGAGGTAAGGGGAGGGGGGGAGGAGAATGTAGACACATTAGTTAGGCTATTAGTTCAACAAGCTGCATCCACGCCTGTCAGTGGTCCGAGCCCCCCCACACACATATCTGACATTTGTTACATATAGTATCTGTGTTGGTGATTGTGAGTGATGGGCAGAGGGGGGGAGGGGCTATAAGTGACTCTTACACACCTCGTCAGTTGTTTGGTTTTTATGAGTTAAAGTGTGTGTGTGTGTGTGTGTGTGTGTGTGTGTGTGTGTGTG